TACTTAGATACGTAACGCCGACATATGCCATTGTATTGTAAAAGCAAGAGACAAAAATCATATATGTATGTTGCCTTGTGTGCGCCAGTTGGACGTCTAATGAATAGTTATTTTGTTTTGTGAAACGATATTGAAAATGTTTATTTGTGATACTGTTGTACAGATTCGGCCGCTGATGACTGAGAGCACGGCGCTGGGCGCGGCGGTGGCGGCGGGGCGCGCGCTGCGCGTGTGGCCGCCCGCCACGCCGCGCCCCCCGGCGGACACATTCATGCCCGCCATATCCGCTGAAGGTCTAATAAGAAACTTGTTTTAAAATGATATTTTAGTTCCATGCCGCTCCATTTCCGTTTAAAATATTTTTTATCTTAAAAAATAGTTTATTAAATCAACATTTTTTATTATGAAAAAATTGCAAAAATCAAATATATTAATAATAAATTGTCTTTTTCTACTTTCGCACAATGTTGAAATGTGATTGTTTTAGAGCGGGAAATCCGTCGCGTGCGGTGGGAATCTGCACTAAGCAGGTGTATGGACTGGGCCGGTGAAGATCCTTATAGAAACAAAGTAGAGCCAGGTAATTATTGTATTGATTGTACTAAATCTAAGAACCAGATAAATAAAACTAAAACAATATACATTTAATGGATATGAGTTCAAGGTATTGGTAGTTAGAAAGCAATAAATATCAAAAAATATGTAAAAGATAGTAATTTAAAGATCAAATACTAATTGCGGTTTGTATTGTTTAATATTATTGGCATAGGTAATTTCACGCTTATGTTAAAAGGAAGAGTTATAGTAAAAAACCAAAAAGTTAGGTAAAAACTTTATTTATAGCACACTTTAACAACTTTGAATGCATGTGGCACATCAAATAATATAAATAACTTTAAAAATCAGTCGTTTTCACAGATGAGGTTGACCACACAACAGCAGTTCTACCATCCGGCCTCTTCTTCCTCGGCACCGCCTTGTTAGTGGTCATAGCGGACAAATTGAAAGTTATATAGACAGCTTTAGTGCAAATAGTCATTAGAAAATACCTCTCATGTTAGTCAAATTATTGCAGTATTAATATTTTCAAAGTAGAATTATAACATGTTGTGAAAACTATAATAAATGTTATACTGAAACATTGTTTTATTATAAATTGTTAAAATAAATCCATAATATAAATATCAGAGTAAAAATGCTAGCTTACTACAAATATAGTTACAATAGGATATTTCTTATTCTTATTTCACGTTAATAATTTTAACATTTATTCACAGTACTATCATAAATAGTACCATATTTCTTTAAATGCAAAAAACACCTTGTTTAATTAGAAATTTAGCATTAAACAATATTTAAGAGATACATTTTTAACAATCTTGGTATGAATCAAAATTATAATCAGTACTCATATAATAGGTTAGAGTTCAGCCTTTTATAACAGCAATAGGCCTTAACTTGACAGTCTTCTTGCTGATACCAGCGGCATGGCAGGTGTCAACAACATCAGTCACATTCTTATATGACTCCGGAGCTTCTTCCATCACAAGCTTAGGTGAGGCTACACGAATAGATATACCCATGCTCTCTAATTTATTCAAAACATCTTTATAATCAATGTTCCTTCTAGATTTAGCACGAGACAATGCACGGCCCTGAAAAAACAAAATAAAAACAGGAACACTTAAATAGTTACACAGAATATTTCAAATTGATACATTTAATATAAATAAATAAATTAATAACAATACAATACTTTAAGCCTTGGGAAATCACATTAAATTAATATTTCCTGTTAAATGCAAGAAGACTGATAATGCAAAAAAAAAACAAATTAAACTATTGCATCACATAGGATGTGGTGCAATAATATTAAATATTGCACCATTTAAGGTAAATGTTTTGACATTAGGTTTTTTAGTTAACTGTAGTTTCAAAATTCATTTTTACATACATTTAAACACTATATTAATAGAATCTATTAAATGCAGGTAGTATTTCAGTATGCTGATTTACTCACCGCTCCATGACAAGTAGTACCAAAAGTTTCAGTCATGCCCTGTTGAGTTCCAGTGAGGACATAGCTGCATGTGCCCATTGACCCACCAATCAACACTGGCTGACCAGTCAGCTGGTAATCTACCGGAATTAAGGGATGGTGCGGAGGGAATGCTCTTGTAGAACCCTGAAATTATTAAAACTATTAAAGAGATAACGAGATACAATTAAATAATAATGACAAGAATTAGGTCTCTAAGTTACAATAAATAATAACATCCAATGGCTTATTTATTCTCTACTTCTATTCTCTACTTTGAATTGGCCAATCTATTGAATAATAATGGAAAATAAACTATTGAAACTATTTACCTTTCTGTGAACTAATAATGTCTTCACTTTTCCGTCTACAACATGTTCCTCAATTTTAGCAATATTGTGGGACACATCATATATCACATGCATGTCTAAATCATCCGGAGCCATTTTGAATTGTTTTGCAAATGCCTGTCGAGTTAGGAAGGTCATCGAGCTTCTGTTAACCCAAGCAAAGTTAGCAGCCGCTGCCATTGCCTTCAGATAATTTTGTCCTTCAACAGAATTTATTCTGGCGCAAGCTAATTGCCTATCATTTACATCAATCTTGTCCCTCTTCATTGCCTTTTCCATTTCAACTAGAGCATCTGTTGCAACTTGATGTCCAAACCCTCTACTTCCAGAATGTATCATCACTACAACTTGGCCAGTTCTCTCCAAGCCCATTTTGCTTGCAGCATATTTATCAAATATTTCATCAACCACTTGTATCTCAGCATAATGGTTACCAGCACCCAGTGTCCCCAACTGTGGTAGACCTCTCTTCTTTGCTCTAAGACTTACTTTTGATGGATCTGCATTCAACATCCGACCATACTCCTCACAATGTTCCTTATCTTCAGCCCAAACATATCCTTCTCTAAGAGACCAATCCATACCCATTTCTAATGCTTCCTCCAAGTCTCTTGCATTCATAGGAATTATACCTTTTGATCCAACACCAACAGGTATGTGATCAAAAAGACTTTGTGCCAGTTGTTCCTTAAATAAAAAAAAAATTAAAAATAATGCTGTTTAGAGAATAGTGTTAAACAAACTAAAGTATCATGTTAATACCTTAATTGGGAGTACATCTTTTTCACTTAAATTGGTTCTAAGTAAACGAACACCACAATTAATATCAAAACCAACACCACCAGGCGAAACAATTGATTTAGGGTCAGACATATCAAATGCCGCCATATTTCCTGAAAACTCTCAAGCATTATTATTGCGCAATAAATGAATATTTAAATACTGAGAAAAAAATTGTAAGAAAATAATATACCTATAGCAAAACCGTATCCCGAATGAACATCTGGCAGCCCAATAGAGTGACCCACAATTCCCGGTAAAGAAGCGACATTAGCAATTTGTTTCACGCCGGGTAAAAACCCTCCCGTCATTCCAGGTCTGCATGAGTTCCTTAACTCTTCCAACATTAATTTTTCAAGTGTACTATTGACATAAAATAAACCCTCCACATTCATGTTTGGCTGAAATCCTTTCTTGATTCTCCAGCAATGGGGGTTCATCTTCTCTAAGTATTTAAGTTCTTCATTATAACTCCTTACCACCATATTGAATATATTAATAATTAAAATATAATCGAAACACAATTAAATCGGCGATGGTAAATATTTAATTAAATTGTCGCAAAGTTATAAAATATGAAATACGCAAGCACAAGTGAAAAATAGAATGACAATGACTTTGACAGGAGTTACCGGCATCCAGAATTCAAAGAGTAAATTCAAAGTTCTATCATTTGTCTGTACCTTTGTCTACACACTCTTTGTTTTTATCTGTCACTTTGAAAATTGATTTCATAATCTTCGATTTCAGGAAGAGAAAAAAAATTAAGAATTTTACTATAAAAGCGCTATTATTGGTAGGTTTTACTTATAAAATATTAAAATATTCGTTGTATTCTGTAAGTACTTGCTCAATTGTTATTTATTTTTAGCGCGAACATGGCTGCTTTGATAAAACTTCGTCATATGCCTGTCGTCCAAAGATGTGTTTGGAATCATTATAACAAATTAAATCGGTGCATCTCGACATCAAAAAAGAACAGCGAAACTGCTACAACTGCATGTGAAAAAGCTGAAGACAAAAATTGGGTTAGCTATGGTTTTGATTACAAGAGCAAAGAAGAGGATACTAACGTCCACAACGCATCATTCTTCTTCTCAGTAACATTATGTCTAGTACTTGGTGGATTTGCATGGGCTTATAGTCCCGATATCCATTTGAGAGATTGGGCTCAACGTGAGGCCTATCTAGAGCTACGTCGCCGTGAAAAAGCTGGGTTGCCTCCTATCAGTCCTAATTACATTGAACCTAAAACCGTGAAACTGCCTTCAGAGGAAGAACTATGTGATGTTGAAATTATCATCTAATTATTGATGAACATTATTGTTATATAGTAAATAGAAATGATTAGTAAAAGATAACTTAATTTTTCATTATCTTGTCGAAAGGGAAAATTTAATAAACTTATATTTATTTTTAAAACAATTAGCAGTGCAATCATTCACATTAGAAATGTATGTAACTTATTTAATTGCTTCAGTTGAAAAAAATGTGGCTGCGATAAGTGTAATCCTGTATATTTTGTCAATGTCGACCATCTTGTTTAAATCTAAGATTGGCATAAAATAAAGTAATCATATTATAAAAGTTATTTTAAGCAAGACTAACTTCTGGGATTTGTAAAATCTGTATCACTTGTTCTTCTCTGATGAGAGACCAAAATTATCAAAAAGGAGTTTAATGGAGAAATATTAAGGAAACTGTATAATGAATGGATTAAAAGAAAAACATATTTTATTGGTATACCTATCTAGGACTTTGTATACAATTATAACAAATTTTATTCAGGGGCAGAATGTCCAAGGAAATCTTACATAAAATTTACAATTGACTAATGTTTGAATATGTTAATTATGCGCCTTTCAGGCAAACTAGTCGTCCTCCTGTTAAAACGACATAAGCTACATCAGATTTGATAGCAACAAGTGCATTCACACAGACACCCAGGTTTATCTCCCCTGCTGGTTGGAGTTGATCACCGGCGATCTTCCATCGTCGCACGACACCGTCCCAACCACCAGTCCAAGCGTGGTCTTCGCTCACTGATAGAGATGTTAATATCATATCGCTCACCTAGAACAAACATTTCAATAGATAAATTTAAGTACTGTATTCTCCTTGCTTATTTAATCTATATAAATAATTTGCCTTCGATTTTTTTATCTGTTAATATTTAATCTTGGTATTATACTAAATAATAATTAAGTTTCCGCAGGCGCTTTTGTCGAATACATCCAATCCTTTTGCTTTAAATTACTTTACTTTTATTAAAAAAACGGCATTACTTTGTTCTGAGTAAATAAGTACTTTTGCTTATGTTAGCTTTAGCACAGTGTCAAAATGTATCTTGATTTAATTAATATTGATACGCGAATAACACTGGGTAGCTGAATTATTTTTATGTTTGAGAAATCGGTCACACCTTAACTTCATGTAGTTTTTTGAACTTGGTATCGATGGAGGCGTCATGTAACTGCAGGTTGTTGGCACCCCTTGCGGTGACGAGGAGCCGGGTGCCCGCCACCCGCAGCGGCGCGCGCCCCTCCATTGTATGGCGGGTCGTGAACCGGGTTTTCGATTCCTCTGCGACGATACGTTATGTTAATAACGGTAAGTAACATACCGATGTTCTTGAGAAAAACCTTTTAAAATTGTAAACTTTTGTTTAATGTGATGATGTGCAAATTTTGACTAACCTTTAAAAAATATTTAACATAAGACGGACATGATGGAGGAATTAAAGAACATTAAAAGGTAATTAACGTCAAAAGGCATAATTACAAATACATCTGCAGAAATAGAAGATAAAATTAAAATTCATGAGTTTTGCAAACTTTGTCATTCTTATGCAAATATGTATTTAGTAAAATCTAATAGAATATCAATAAACTAGACAATATGGTCATTAAAATTTCATTTGTGTGATATAATCATAATACAAGGAAAAATCTAAATTACACGAAACAGTTTATGAAATGATATTTGTGGAAAATGTGAACACACTAGCTTCCGCCCACGACTCCGCCCGCGTCGAATTATAAAAATCAAAGCTGAGTAGCTTATTTGTTCCAGACTATCCTCTACGTCTATCCCAAATTTCATCGAAATCCGTTCAGCCGTTTAGGCTAAAAACTCTAACAAATATCCATGTAAACTTTCGCATTTATAATCTTAGTATGAAAAGTATTAAATATGATTAGTAAATTAGTTATAAACAAAATGCTTGTAATAAACAAAATGATCTAACCTGGTTTTATTTCTGTGACTGTAACATATAAATCTCGCGCTGTAAACATATAAGGCGGCTTCAGACTTATATCCTTCACTTCTTCGAGGACTTGGTACTTGGCTTTCACTTTATTGTTCTCGTAAATCACAACCTGCAAATGATTTGAAATCACATCTTACATCTTTGGTAACTAATAAATTAAAAGAAACAAAATTGCAGATGCAATTTTGTTTCTTTTAATTTAGATTTATTTATTATTATTCAATAAGATAGATATCTTATTGAATATAAATTGCAATTAAAGGTTACCTACATTGCCACTTTCATCGCCAGAAATTAACTGGTTTTCATGCACACATAAAGCGCCGATGTCTCCCCCCGTGGGTGGAAGCTCAGCGATTTTGTCACCCTTGGCGGACCAAACCCGTACCCCTCCGTCGTAAGAGGATGAGTACACAAAGCCGTTTGCCGCACTCAATGCAAACACTTGCGATTCATGTGCTATCCAATCCGCACCCGGAGATAGGTTTTTATCGTATGACTGAAAGAAAAAAGGTTTGTCGTGAAATAGTGAAAAAATGTAATAAATAAAATCAATTAGTTTACGTGCAGAACGACAATTTTTATATTTTTTTCATTTAACTTAAGACTATTTGGTAAGTGATTATTTATTTCTTTTCAAATACTTTAATTAAGTACCGAATAAAAGTTTACTTCAAAAACTTACAAAGATGGCGCCAGTTTCTGTGCCAACGTACAATGTGTTGTCCCAGGCCACCACACACGGTTCTGATTCGACCTTTATCTCCGCTTCTATTTTGAGTGCACTCATTTTTAGACAATATAATCAAAAAGATCACCGTATATTGCAGTTGTTGTAAAACAGTCGCTGTAACGAATGCAAGAAGCTTACTGCGACGAAAATAGATCGACTCTCTGGCGCTGTTTTCATATTTACTTTAGGAGCGTCTAGATAAATCTGGAACTAATGGTAAAAATAGATTATTGATTTATAAATATTAATAAAAGTTTATTCGCTTAGATTTTGGATAAAGGCATTGAAGCGAAATAATAGCAAATTTTTCACTACAGTTTTAACAGTTATGAAGGTTGGCACCAAATGCCAGTGTGCCAAATATTCTAGAAAAAAAAATTTCAAGGTTGCGACCGCAAGGCGGATCCCCACAGGCATTGTGTTGCATAATTTTGTTAGCACCATATTATTATGGATAAGTGTATTACAAGTAAGTGAAAGTCGTGCTAGTCATGTCACTTTGTAAAAAAAAAAACAAAATGTATCTCAGTAGCATTCAGCATGCAACAACGAATTAGAAAATGCACCCCAAAATTTACTCGCACTATAACCTCATTTCATAATGTGATTAACCATAATCTAAAACATTTGGGGCCTGTGTGGTAACTACCACACGTAACAACAATTTTAGCATACTAATGTAGGCCTGTATAAGGATATGAGAAAATATTACAGAAGATTAGATCGTAATTGTAACAATTAAACTACAGAAATTCATCTATTCACAGGAAGCTACGTAATCCTGAAAACGAAAATTTAGTATTTTCCAATTAATCCAATAATTTGTTTATTACTCTAATTATAGTAAAATTAGTATTCTGTCCAATCTAGTTCAGTCCAACACAACCAAAACATCTCATAACGATTATTTTGGAATGACCAAAGAGATGCTATAAGAGTAGCGCGATCACATCTTTCCTTTGAGTTCTACAAAGTCGACAATCAACAGTTCGTGTATGTAAACAATATTCAACAGTACCAACGCGAAAGTCGTAAATAACAATAATAAGGTACCTAAGTATAATGATGCCGTGAGACATTTCTTGCTATTATTCTCGCACGGGCACGGACGTGTTATGTCACTGCGGAACTTAACAACTTTATAATGAGTTGAATAAAGATTATAACTATTTAGTGTAAATGTCGTTTTAGTCCGTTAAATTCAACAATTGAATCTGTGGCGGAAATAAGTGTTGCAAGGATGGGATGTAATATGTTGTTATAGCCGTAGCAAATACGAGTCCTTTAAACACACATGGTTAGTAGAGAAAGTTGTGAAATTCATAGGAAAATAAAACGCATAAAAAATCATTATTTATCAAAAAATCCAAAATTAAGAATAATTATTTATTTCCAGTTACTTTAATAATTTCTGACTACCTCAAGTTACAATATTGGTGTATCCGCGCAGAATATAAAAATTCTTATTTACAATTGTAAACTTAGCACTCAGATGTACTAACGCGTCCTCGGCCTACCAAAATCGGATATATTGCACTCGTAATAACATTGCAGGAATGTGCTGATACAGTGTCAAGGGTATGGATCGGAAAATAAAGATATGTTCGTCAATTGGCTGCTAAAGGGCAACCATATACGGACTCTGAGTGTGGTAATTTACTTAATATAAGGTAATTGGCGTTATCTGAGGCACGGTTGAAACTTTCTCTTAAGATCTAATTCAATCTCGTATTTTCGCCACCTCGTTATTCCAAACAATAGTAAAATTCTTTCGAATAGTGACCTTGGCCAAAGTTACGTATTATTCTGTCATTACTTTACTTTTCAAATACGATAACTTAACTTTCTTTTTGTGGTGTACCTGTTTTCAGTTATAATACTTGTAAATTTAATATACACACAAAGTATATACGTAACATATGTGTGAACGTAAGGAAATGTCGTTGAAAGAGATATAAATTTATTTGAATAAGTCAAAAGCAAAATTTACATGGATAAAAAACTCATTATGTAGGACAACACGTAATACTGAAAAATAACATACTCGTATATCGAGGTAAATCTATCTAATCTTTAAATAATATCATTTAAGTAATTTTAAAACTGATTCTTCTAATGAATCTTCCTTTTATAATAAATCAATAGAATTTATTGATATATTTCAGGACGTGGACAGCGTAGCGTGTTGCCCAACAAAATATTATCATTACAAATGTGATTCACATGTTTTCGCTTTTAGCGCACATCTAAACATACGAATGCGTCCCTCTGTGTCGCTGGTTAACACTTTACGCAATACAATGAATAACCTACATCTCAGATCCGATTCCTTCAAAACAATTACATACCGTAACTATTGTTATTTCATACACAGTTTTATTCTTAATTTTTTGTATATCAATTACAAACATAGGATTAACAAGCAATTAAAAGTTCCAAAAGTTCATGATCTCTATGCCCCGTTTTCTATAATGTCATATAGGTTTGGTATGTAATTTATCTAACCTGTCGTATTACCCCTTTCAAATTATTCTGTAAAATTTACACAAAAATGTTAGATTGTTTTTACACTGTTTACATTTTATGCGAGTGTGTATTGTCAATGTCCCATTGCCCTTGTATCAAACGTGCTTTGATAGTTTAAATGCTTTCCATTTTGGCTGCAAACGATTTCATAAAAACACAGATTCCGCGACGTTACCTTCGCCTCAATGGATGTTCAAAGGTCGACTCAGGATAACTTACGCTACGCAAATGTGTCAGACAGTTTAGTAAAGATGGTGCGACTTGGTGTGTCTAAGTCCTAATTTTCAGAAGAGAATGACAATTGATGCTGGACAAGATCTAACTACGTCGATAGTTAAGAAATGAAGATCTAATTACTATCAAAATCCAAGCAAATTCTTGGCAACCTAACTGAAAATTCGGGCCTAAAAGTCATGAGCACTAATCATCACATATGAAACTAAAATTAAAAAAGTATGTATTATCTAAAACATTTAATGATATAAAAATATATTTACAATCTCATCAATTTGATGAAAGATAAAAATAAACTCGGGGTTTGGCGGTCTGCCAGTATGCCACTCACTACACCCTCTATACAATCGCCCTCTTCAATAAAGTCCACAGAGTTAACATTCCAATTCATAATAAGCGCTACAATAACTAACATAATTATTATATAAAATTATTTATGACTATCATACAAATCAACTATGTTTTTTGGTAGAAAAGCTTCATCTGAGGGCGAATATGCGAGAGTTTGTGGATTTCCTTTTCAGTATGAACTGTCGCCGGATGGCGCGCCGTAGCTCGATGATGGGGCGGAGGCCGGAGGACCATACTGTTGTGCTGGAGGCTTCGCCGCTGGGTAACCCTCTTGTTTCTAGAAAAGGAAAACATACAAATATAAGTAAAACATGTAAATGAATCCAATGACATCGCCTTGAGTGAAACGAGAAAGTTCACATAGTAACAGGGCAGAAAAAATCATTTATATCTTATTTTACACTTATAAGATGAATGACAAACTGTAGTCTTGTTTGAATATTGTTTGTATCGTAGCATAAGAATGTTTCGACTTGATTAATCTTATTTACCAACAGCTAAGTACATCTTAGCCGAAATATGAAAGACCCGTGCTTCTTATGATTACGACATAACTAAAATTGCTATCTTGTTTGACGATAATTTTGATTGGTATAATAATCTATTATTTTAACATTCAATATGCGGAGGCTGCTGTTATTGTTATGTTATGCAAGTTATTACTGTAACACACTTTCGTTTCATTGAGATTTGGGCTGAGCCGGTAATTATAATGCGATTTACATGAAACATTTCTATGTTGTGCAATAAACACTTAAGTAAGAAAAAAGCGAACGCTGCTATATGTAAGAGTACATTATAATTTTCAAATCGCGTAGTATCTCTTGTGTAAAATATCACCATAGAAATAAAAAAAGACTAATAGAATTTTAAATGTCGCTCACAAAATTTAAATTCCACCTAAACAATTAAAAATTACGTTACACTCATACATATTCATTCATAATTAAATACTTTTATGATGCGCTAAAAGACTATGCCTTACAAATGATCTCTTTAGTAACATCAAATGGTTTTCTTTATGGTAATAGCATTATTTTAAATACGGTAATAGTAATAAAATTCTCAACAAATCAAAAGCTACGGTCACATGGTGTGAGTCGAGCAAATTTTAATTAAGAATTGACAGCTGATCGCAAATTTGAAGGAACACACCAATTTACTTAAATTAATCTGTTTTTATTTGACCTACTAATCCTATGATCCTATTGACTTGTGTACGATAATGTGAGGCAGTGCACGTTGTGTGTAGCCTATTGTTAGCAGCAAATATTATGTCATCACCGTAATCTGCCCTACTGCCAGGTGTGAGAATCGATCACACTTCCTAGACAATGCCAGGAAGCATTGTCTTTGTTTAATCGCTGTTATCAACCAACTTGCATCCAGGATAATTCCTTAGATTCCCAAACTTATCACTCGCAAATCCTTTTTAAAATGTTTTGCTTGCATTATACCGGACTCCACTAGAACTATGAAGCACTGGTCTAAATCATAGATCAGTTTACCCTTCGGCTGTAGCACATTGTTATTCAGAACATAATATATAACTATTACTTAACATTATTTAACACCACATTCCTGCATAGTAAGTACCAAAGTTCTACTTTCATTAATTACACTGTCCCTGCACCTCACGCGTCAATTATGTAATAAATTTTACTAAGTAACCATGTTCATTACATTTTAAACGGCATCTACCTAACGTTGTCCAATTATAGTGGACATTAGTAAGATAATTCTGTATTGATTGTAACCGACTAAACAGTTTGATGAACTATCTATCTATGGTATTATGTAGCTTAATTTGGTTATTCATCTTCAATTGTCTAATTCTTAATTGTTTTGGAACCCTAACTTTAAAATGTGTGTGTATTAAGTTATTTGACATACCTGTGTCTTGTATCTGATGAAGTAAACTTCTGGTTTGGCAGGTTGAGTGGG